TTTTTTTGATAACCGTGGATATCCGGGCCAGCTTGCGCGCACCTTGACTAATTCCACGAGACCCTGAAGTTTACGGCCGGATACTCACCTCAGTGGCCCTGAGGGAACTCGAACTGGTGACCATTGAGGAGCAAACTCAAGGCCTGACCAATTGAGCAACCCCTCAGAGTTAATACAGCTATTGAGAATCATTTAATAATATACTAAATCAAGTAATACAATTTTATTTATCAATTGTTTCGACATCACAAAATAATGCAAAGTGATTACGAATTAATTTAGTCAATTTCTTTAAATTCTTTTTCAACCATACATTTCACGAGATTTACAAATTTTATTAATTTTTCAAACAAATATTTTATCAACTTTTGAAAAAATATACTAAAATCTATTTTTTATCAAAATGGAAATTAGCACATAATGTCCCAACCTTTCATTGTTATTGTGAAAATGTCCATACCTTTCATTTTTTTGACATTTTCACCCTTATTTTCACATTTCATTGCGCAAAAAGTCATTTTCATCCATTTTCTCAATTAAAAATTGTGGAATGACGAAAATACCCTTTCCTTTAAATAAAACACAAAAAAAAAAGAAAAAAACTAATTGCAAATGTAGTCCGAAGTTTTTTGAAAAGCTCAAATGAGTCCCAAATAAATTATTAAAAATGTAATTAGCACATAATGTTCCTACCTTTCACTATTATTGCGAAAAACATCCCTACCTGTTATTTTTTTATTTTATTTTTTGCATTTTCTTCCTTAATTATATTTTGATCAAACCACCATTTCTATCCATTTTCTCAATAAAGAACTATGAAATAATGAATATACCTTCATATTTAAATAAAAAATATTTTTTAAAATTTCTAATTATTTAATAATGTATTTGGGACTCGTTTGCACTTTATTATTTTTTAAATAAATTTAATTGAGACTCGTTTGCACTTTTAAAAAAAATGGGACAATAGTTGCAATTAATTTTTTAGCTTTTTTATTTAAATATGATGGTATATTCTGCATCCCACTATTTTTTTATTAAGAAATTGGATAAAATAGATAGAAATGATGATTTGCGCTATCAAATTATAATTAATTAAGGGAGAAAATACCAAAAAAAAAAAAATGTATGGGCATTTTTCATAATAATAGTGAAAGGTAGAGATATTATGTGCTAATTACCATTTTAGTAATTTATTTGAGACTCATTTGCGCTTTTCAAAAAAGTTAGAACTATGTTTGCTATTAGTTTTTTTCTTTTTCTGTTTGTTTTATTTAAAAGGAATGGTAATTTCGTCATTTCACAATTTTTAATTGAGAAAATAGATAAAAATGACATTTTGCGCAATGAAATGTGGAAATAAAGATGAAAGTGCCAAAAAATGATAGGTATAGACGTTTTTCACAATAACAGTGAA